TGCTTTCTGACTCACTGTCCCTTTGTTCCACAAATTCTGTCTCCTGGGTTTATCCACAAATTCTTTCTGTTGGTCCCCTTTTATTTCCACACTTGTCTCATCTACTCATGCATCTACTCATTATTCTTGCCACATCAGTCAATTTAAATTCGCTATCTTTTGCTCCCAACATTCTAATCTTCATTCTGCTGTTTTATCCAAATGGGCGACCGAAAGACAGCAACCAAAACCGGCGCACGAAAGTGCATGGTTGATGATTGTAAGGACTGAATTGAACTGAACTGATTCTTTGCACCCAAGCACTTTTTATACAAAGTTCAAATCCGCCCGATGCTCGAATACTACAGTCTCGTTTGGGGTGGAGCTTCGTATTCCGCTCTTTTCCTCCTCGACTGAGTTCAACGTAAGGTCATCTGGCTGATCGACGAACCGCCTTTAACTTCCAGCTTAGAGTCGCTTTCCCATCGTTTTTTACCTGTTTTCTATCGTTACTATTTTGGTTTCTGCCCTTATGAATTCGCTTCATCAGTTCTCCTCCTCTTGACCTTTTCTCACCCATCTTGTTCTCAGGCGGGCAGTCACCCTTGATTGTTGGTATTATCTACCCAATCAAGGAGGTGACCGCATGCATATTAAGGTGAAACGGCTTATGGACGACTAGAGACGTGGCGTTGATGTGAATTGTTTTGAAGTATGAACTGGTGCTCATAATATGCGGTCTGTTCTGCTTCACAGTTGTAAGGTGTCCATCGACTGGACGTCTTTGGTATTTGTTAGAGATAGTAGACGGGCAAGTAACACCGAGGTAACCCTGCTTGTATCTAGGTTGGCTTTGGAGAAACATTCGTTACCACCGAATGCGGATGAGTAGGCTTAACCGGGTAGAACACGTGTTGCGCACATCTAAAAGCCGCATCAAGGTTTGTGTTCAGTCGCCGCTCCAGGTTTGCGAAAATCACCTGCAGATGAGACATGAGAAAATGTACGGAGAGATTAGGTTGAGTAGGGGCCTAAAAGACTTCTGGGTACGAACTTCGAATGACAGCGAACTGACAACAGGCTCTTATGAGAATGTCTCCCCTCATTCCCTTTTACTCTATCCTCTGCCCATGGGTGGTACTCCTTATACTATGATTCATTTTATAAGTAATAGAAACTGGCCTAGTTGTTGTGTGTACATTGTTTGCGTGCGACTGTCTAGCAACAGAAAGCAGGTTAGATGCAGTGTGAATCAGGGGGATCCATCTGTGGTTCTCAAAAATAAACTTACTTCCCAAGCAGAATACAGAATGAGCTTTTAATACGGTCTTATAGTTTGGGTAGATTAACTAGGTGATTGGTTACTTTACACACTGAATCGTTCAATTGCAGGCTTCCTATTACCAAGTGTTTTGACATTTTCGATGCGGTGGAATGGTGATGGTAGCCAAACTTGGCAAGCAAAGAATTACCAGAACGGAGGAGCTTTGTCACATTTTTTTATTACACACCTAAGTGCGATGAACAGCAGACGGAGCGAACCACATAGTCGCGAGGACCTGCTTTTCAGTGGTGGAAATCGGCAACCTAAGACCCGGGACTTGGAATGGTGAACCACAAGGTTCCGATAGATTAGGCGTGATATTGAACCAGACGACAGCAGAGCTGCTACCACCAAAGTCGAGTGGCGGTGGCGAGGCTCGAACCTCGGACCATAGGGTCCAAAGCATGCCGGTGACAGACTGGTATTTCGTTCTCATGAATTGATGACGATTATTCATCTATCCGATCCAACAATGTCATCGTTTGGATTGATTATTCCCCCTGAAATTTGCATTTAGGACGGAGTCGGATTCTCGGTTAGAGTGTTTATTTATTAGCATCAGTAGCCAAATTCATTGTTTACTGACGTTGGTGAAGCTGTTAGATTCACTGTTTTACCGGTGTTATACAAGTTTGACGTGCAAACCGCACCTCGGTCACCCGGCTTTCGTGGTAGATAGTTCCATCGTCCTCCCTCTCAGTACTAAGTCCAACCTATTGTAACTGGATTCCCATCAAGGGATTAGGATATCAATTCCCAAAATCAAACACGATCATGAGTGTTACTCATTATGCTATTCATCATAAAATAGTGCACAATGAAAATTGACAAAATTGAACTCAGAATATCTTGCTGCAGGTTGTTTTTTTCCGTTTTAGTTTCTTTTCGTTTTTTCCCCATCGATACAAAGTTCTTCGTGAAATCACTGTAAATTCCTGGATTTCTCATTCTGAAGTGACTATCGTTCTTAATTTCTTCAAATCTTTAATACTGTGTGGCGTACGGTGACCAGGATCCATTTTGTATCTTCGTACCTCCCGTTTTTATCACTTCAGCTGGTACTTGTGCTCAATCAAGATAACTGTTATCAGATTCTGCGCAGCCTTCTAGAAAGGTTTGTTTTTGTCGTGAGGTTTCGTAATTCACTTTGTTGGCTTCCTCGTTCGTTTGTTTCGTGGTTTTATATCAACACTTGTTCTTTCTTCTGACATTGAACATCAGATGCAACGCGCTTTTTTTTATCTATTACGTTCTCTGTTTACTAATATACTAACTACATTGACGGGTGATGTGTCGCACATCTATCGCAACGGCTCAATATACAATCGGTGGTTTAGTTCCCTGGAATGTATGGTCGTTTTTAGTCAATAAGTATGAGTTCCTGCCTAAGGGCAAACCTATCCAGCAAGGTGTGTTGGCACTAAGATTCTACTGAGCGGGTACCGCAGCACGGTTGTATTAACCTCGGAACTAAAGCAGCAGGAGCTACTCTTATTTGCGCTCGTTGTTTCGTTTCTGTTACATTCTTGCTTTTCAAATTTTTGTTCTTCATTTGTACCTTGAGCATGACATTTTTGAGTTTGTTATATTGCAACTGCGAATTGTACTGCTGGTAAATACGAAATTACTGACTGTTTAAAACTAATTGATTGTTTTTTTCCTGTTTCAAGTCAATCCACACAGAAACCGGCGATACCACGAGACTTGCAAAGCCCTCTCAATTCGAATCCAGTGCATATGAATTCACACCACCACCACCACAACAACAGCAGCCAAAACAAAAGCAGCAGCAACAAACCTCATACCAGCAGCAACCATTCTCTTCACAACAGTCCCAGCAACAGCAGCCCCAGCGCACAACCCTTACAAACCGCCACCAATTTGGCTCTGACATTTGCTCAGCCGTCCCGCCTATTGTAGTCCACGAACCGGCTGCAATGGATGTGACCGTAGATGCGGATGAATTCGAGTTGAAGTCCGTAGATCAGTCTGTAGGATTAACAGATGCAGAGCAGATTCCAGCCGACCCAAATGTCTCATTTCACCCAGGGACTGTTGCACCCATTGCCCAGACGATTGCTAGTGCGCCATCGAACTCTGTGTTACGACCGTCTGTNGACTCCCTTGGCCCATTGTTCGTCCATCCGCACTATCCGTCCCAATGACCGGATCTCCTGCTCTAACCCCTGCTGTTATACCTCGTTTTCATCACAATGTTAGCAGTATGGTTCGTACTTCAGAGGCGGGGACTGCCGTTACCTCAGGTGAGCGCCGTTATCACTCTTCGAATATCGTTTTCCCCCACCCGGAAGACAACAGCTTTAACTTAGGCACTAAGTGACCTTAATTAATTTCCAGGTCCTAAATGGTTTCATGCTCCCAACTCCGGTCGGAATGTTTCCTTCTGTTTGACTAAACCTGCGCTTAATACCTGTTGCGTCTGTTCATTATTTTGAGTGTAGATTTAGTGTTAATTTCCCGAATACCTTTTTGAGAAATTTCATGGTTTATTTGTTATATAGTAGCAAGTAGTATGCGAATGACTTGGCAAAATTTCCTTGGAAGCATATGACCGGTTTCTCGGGTCTTGCCGGCCGTTAGGCATGCGTTTCCCGTAATCTTTTGCCAGTTTATTTTTTTTCATTTTACTTCCTTTTATTGAATATGCAAAGAAACGATTTTCAAGAAGGGAGAAGTGGCCAATCAAAGGGCTGCCATTCAACACACAATGGGAAAATTTAGGCGGTGGTGGTGGGATTCGAACACATTCCCGGGGTGATAATTTGGTGACCTTACCACCGGGCCACCAATGCCCTGTTCTCAGAAACTGGTTCTAAAAGAGCTATCCAAGCAAATATACCCTCCGTTGCAATGCCAGGCATATTTGTTTGGACAGCCCTTTCGGAGCCAGTGACTGGGAAACCTATTCAAACGGCTTGGAGAGGCGAGCCAATTTATTATCCGTTAGGTAGACAATGGTGCTGCTCCAAGTGACAGCAAGACTGTCTACCACATACAAAGATCACTAGCCTCTGTGGGATATGAATCCAGGCACGGATCCCGACCACGCTGTTGTGCAGATAAGTCGAGAAGCCACTTTATCTCGCTACCATTCAGTTTTTTGTTCGTTCTCCCTCCTTCCTGGGCCCGCATACATAAGGCTCGGTTACTGTTTGCCAACTTGAAACATCTGTGGCGCCGTCACGACATCCGGCTGTCTATGAAGTGTCGAGTGTATGCTTTGGCAGTTCGGCTAGTGCTGTTCTTCGCTGCAGAGACTTGGTCACTACGAAAACAGGATAAATGTAGGTTATCGGTGTACGTCGCATTGCACGAGTCTGTTGGGATAACCGGACTAGCAATGTTGAGGTTAGGCGTAGAGTTTTGGGTAGTCACAGTCGTCCACTAGAGCAAGCAGTTGACGTCCATATATTACTTTGTTTTGGGCATGCGTTACGCAAGTCACCATGTTGCCACGGTTAGCGATGTTTCCCGAGGCAGGTATCGGTTGGAAAAGGGTCAAGGGTGGTAAAACGAAGACCTGGCATGAGTGTATGAAAACACTAACCAGGAAACTGGGTCACATAGGTCCCGTTAGGCTTCCTGGCTGGGTACCCCGGGATCATAGTCATCGACGGTTAGAAACACTGAGCGATATGGTTGTGTGCCGCAAACGGTAGCGCTCATGCATCTACTCGTTATTCTTGTAACATCAATCTATATGAATCCTCCATCTTCCGCTTGAATTTGTTTTCTACATTCCAATCTTCATTCTGCTCTTTTATCCAAATAGGGCACCAAAATACAGCAACCAAAACCGGTGCACGAAAGTGCATAGTTAATGGTTGTAAAAACTAAAACTGAAACTTCTTGGGTTGAATAGATATGTAACCGAAATACATTGGCAATGAACAGGGCAGAAAGTGCAAGGTTGCTGGTTGTGGTAACTGTAACGAAATCACTGAAAATGAAATTGATTTTTTAATTCCCAATTTTGTTCATGTATATTAGCTTGATTTTCTGGTCGTAATCATACGAAGTTTAGCCACTCAACTGTTCTGTCTCGGAGACAAAACAGCTTCCTAGTTTGCCATAGTTAACCACTGCTTTCTTTTTTTAATAAATTGTTCCCCACCTCAGATGGAGTTAATTCCGGCCTGGCAAACCCTCGTGTTGTCATGCAAACGCCGCCCTCTCTGGGTACCCCCACAACAGCTTCTACAAAGTTATCTTCGGAAGAATCCACTGCAACTGATCGTCCTCATCAATTTCATCATAACCCCCAATTTCAACATCATCATCATCATCATCAACAACAACAACAACAACAACAACTGACACTATCCTGCAATCCACTACTTTTGCCACCTTCAATGAGTGTCGGATCGGTCGGTCCTTACGATCATTCCTCACAAACGCTGAGTGTCACAGGATACAATCAATCGAATGGTGTGCCCCTAACCGGAGGACCTCTTAAACGTACAATCGTTCATAAATATCACTCTTTTAGAAAAATCCTACCTAAGTCACCGGAACACTTCATGCAAACCGCCACGTTACATACAATCCCCAATTTGGGGTCTACATCGCCTGGACTCACTCAACTTCCCGTACTGGGCACTAGTGGCGGTGGTGCTCCTGGTGCGGCAAGTACTGGGATGCGAGTGTATCGTAACGCATCCTTTCCGCAATCCAACTTGCTTTCCTGTGACACCGCCTCGGAGACCGCTTATTTTGTGGACATTCCGGCTAACTTGACTGATATTAGTTCTGGATCGAGTTGCACAATGGGTCATTCTGCATCATTGGGATTTCAAGCTTACGCTAGCGTCACAGCCACAACCAACACAACAACTACGGCTGCAGTATCCAGTCCATTGGTCAACAATCCGGCTTCTCAACTGCTGAAAAGTCTTTTAGAAAAAGGTGATGGCAAAGAAGCTACAAACACCGTGCTAACCATTCCGGTTCACCCGCATCATCTGGCAGCGGTACCAGCACCGAAAAAAAGTGTGCCTAATGTGCCCAACTGTTCCGGCTCGGTGACTTGGAATCAGCCTG